CCGAGATAAGGGTATGAATAACAGTTGAAGAATTTTGTGAAATGTCAGAAAAAGGCTGGTAGGCTCATGAGATCAATTCTGACTTTAAGTTATGAAGTCTTTACTATACAAAATAAGTATTAGAATCTTTGAGAAAAATCCAGGAATGTCTTAGCTAAAATCTCTGATAATAATAAAAGCTTTATCAGCTAGAATGATATTACCAAAAATGTCTTTGAGATGATGCAACTGTTTCAAGAATGGGTAAGCAACTTTTAACCCTAAGGAGATTTAGAACTCAGTTTAAAAATATTTAAGAATCAAAATTATGGTATGAATGATTTTATGCTAGCAAAGCAGTACTTATTTTTAAATATAGTTGTTTCTTAAGCCATTACAATAGCATGTCAGTCTTTTGATTCCATTTTAAAATTTATAACTATGTAATTAATTTATCCTTATAATTGCCAAATAGAAATCTTACCAAGTTTATATACATTGTATGAATATTTATGAAAACATAAGACTCAGCATATTTGTACATTTGTTAGATTTAGAAAGATTACTTTAAGTCCTAGGAATCTTTTGTGAGATAAATGAAATGCCTAAGTAGAATATCTCAGGGTATTTAACTAAGTTTGTAAATGCAACCAAATATAATTTCAAACTCTTAAAAATAATCTTTGGTTGGATGTTAGACATTATTAATGTAATGTTAAGTGCTTGACTTCTTTCCCACAAAGTATTAGACTTTGTTCTTTTTTTTTTTTGCTTTAAAAAAACTGTAGTTAATTTACAGTGTTGTGTTAGTTTCAAGTGTACAGCAAAGTAATTCAGTTATACATATATATATACACAGATGTTCTTTTTCAGATTCTTCTCCATTAGAGGTTATTACAAGATACTGAGCATAGTTCCCTGTGCTATATAGTAGGTCTTTGTTGTTTTCCTGTTCTATACACAGTAGTGCGTGTATGGGAGAAGGAAATGGCAACCCACTCGTGTTCTTGCCTAGAGAATCCTGTGGACAGAGGAGCCTGGTGGGGTCTGTGGGGTCGCACAGAGTCGGACACGGCTGAAGCAGCTTAGCAGCAGCAGCAGTGTGTATATATTAATATCAAACTCCTAATTCATCTCTCCTCTATTGCCCATCCTCTCTCTTTGGTAAACCTGTTTGTTTCATATGTCTGTCAGTCTGTTTCATTTGTGTCATTTCTTTAGATTCCACATATAAGTGATATCATGTAACATTTGTCTTTCTGTATCTCAACTTAATATGATAATCTCTAGGTCCATCCATGTTGCTGCACATGACATTATTTCATTCTTTTTATGGCTGAGTAATAGTCCATTGTATATATGTATCACATCTTTATCCATTCATCTGTTGATGGACATTTAGATTGCTTCCATGTCTTGAGTGTTATAAATAGTGCTGCTGTGAACACTAGGTTGCATGTATCTTTTTGAATTAGAATTTTCTCTGGGCATATGTCCAGGAGTGGAATCATATGGCCGTTCTCTTCCTAGTTTTTTTAAGGAATCACCATACAGTTCTGCATAGTGACTGTACCAATTTAACATTCCCACCAGTGTAGGAAGGTTCCTTTTTCTCCACATTCTCTCCAGCATTAATTGTTTATAATTTTTTTTTATAATGGCCATTCTGATTGGTATGAGATGATACCTCATTGCAGTTTTGATTTACATTTCTCTAATAATTGGCATATAGTCATCTGTATGTCATCTTTGAAGAAATGTCTATTAGGTCTTTTGTCCATTTTTTTAATTACATTGTTTGTGTTTTGGGTATTAAGCTGTATGAGCTGTTTGTGTATTTTAGAAATTAATCCCTTGTCAGTTGCATCATTTTCAAATATTTTCTTCGATTCTGAGGATTGTCTTTTCGTTTATGATTTCCTTTGTTGTGCAAAAGCTTTTAAGTTTAATAGGGCCCATTGTTTATTTTTGTTTTTATTTCATTACTCTAGGAGACAGATCCAAAAAAACATTGCTGCAATATATGTCAAAGACTGTCCTGCTTGTTTTCTTCTAGGAGTTTTATAGTATCCAGTCTTACATTTAGGTCTTTATCCATTTTGAGTTTATTTTTGTGTGTGATGTTAGAGAATGTTCTAATTTCATTCTTTTACATGTGGCTGTCCAGTTTTCCAAGCACCACTTTATTGGAGAGACTTCTCCATTATATATTCTTGCTTCCTTCCTTGTAAATTAATTGGCCATAGATGCATGAGCTTATTTCTAGGCCTTCTATCCTGTTCTGTTGATCTATATGTCTGTTTTTGTGCCAGTAGCATACTTTTTTTTGATTACTGTACCATTGTAGTATAGTCTGACGTCTGTGAGTGTGATTATTCCAGCTTCGTTCTTCTATCAGAATTGCTTTGGCTATTTGAGGTCTTTTGTGTTTCCATACAAATAAAATTTTTTTTGTTCTAGTTTTGTGGAAAATGCTATTGGTGATTTGATAGGACTACTTTGAATCTGTAGATTGCCTTGGGTAGCATGATCCTTTTAACAATATTGATTCTTCCAGTCCAAGAACACAGTTTATCCTTCCATGTGTTTTGTGTTACCTTCAATTTCTTTCATCAGCATCTTATAGTTTTAATGAACTTTGTTCTTGTAGGCAACTATTTGTGGATTAGTTTGAGCCTTACAAGGCTTGCCTTTAAGCTTCATTGGAATAGATTTATAATAGGCATTACACTATTGTGTAATGAAATAAAAACAAATGGGCTTCCCTGGTGGCTCAGATGGTAAGGCGTCTGCCTGCAATGCAGGAGACCTGGGTTTGACCCCTTGGTTGGGAAGATCCCCTGGAGAAGGAAATGGCAACCCACTCCAGTACTCTTGCCTGGAAAATCCCATGGACGGAGGAGCTTGGTAGGCTACAGTCCATGGGGTCGCAAAAAGTTGGACACGACTGAGCGACTTCACTTTTTAATGCTACTAGTGCTACTGCTGTGAAGTGACCTTCTCTGGTCTTCACTAAATGTTTTCAGGGGCCAAATAGGCTCTCCTCTCTAGGGGTTAGATCTCAAATGACTTCTACCCCTTTGTAAACTCTGGGAATTTTTCAGTTTACAACTCTCCCGTTATTCTTAGTCTAGCCTTTTGGAGTTCACCCTATGAGTACATGACTTGATGTTCAGTTTGCAAGCTCTTACTCCAGTAGCTTCCTCTTCTCCAGTATTCTGTCCTGTGAATTCCTGCTGCCTTTGACCCACTCTGCTGAAATTCTCTCTTTCTGAGCTGTGGTCTGAAATGTGCCTTTTGTTAGAAAGTGGCTCACCAGTGCAGAATCCACCTGCAATGCAGGAGATGTAGGTTCAATCTCTGGGTCAGGAAGATCCCTTGAAGAAGGAAATGGCAACCCACTCCAGTATTCTTGCCTGGGAAATCCCGTGTACAGAGGAGCCTGGCAGGCTACAGTCCGTGGGGTCACGAAAGAGTCAGACATGACTGACTGACAGTTCACTACTTCACGGTACAGTACTTCAGGCTATTGTAGGGCTTATCTAATTTCTTTCCCCTGTCTCAGGGATCACAGAACTATAATAATAGTCATCGGTGTCTTGAAAGCAGCTTATTATCATCTATATATATGTAAATTTTATAGTGATTTCTGAAAACACATTTTAGATTTTGTTCAGAGATAGCATATGTCACATCTACAAAGCAAGCCAAGCCAAGCCAAAGTCAGTAAGCTTTGCTGAACTCTGTAGGAAAGCGTAACAAGAATGAGGAGAGGATAATTGTGATAAAGTAAGACAGTCTACCACGAGAGGTATAAAAAAAATCATGGTAGTCTGTTACCTAAGTATGTCACAAATAAAAATATGTTAATGGCAATGATGATTGTGATGATAGTAAGTGTTCAGTAAATGTTAACTATGTGCCAGGGCACTATTGTAGTTAAGTTACGTGTGTTAATTCTCTTAAGACTCATAATAACCTCATGAAATAGTTATTATAAATTTTACCATATTATAGATAAGAAATAGAAGTGTATAGAAGTTAAATTTCTTGTCCAAGGTAAGTTGTAACATCCAGATATGAAATGAGGAAGTCTGGCCGAACTGTGGTTAATATAGTATACTATATTCTGTCTTGACATAATGAAGGTTCTGAGGAATTTCACAGTGAAGAAATCTGTTTATCTTTATTAGACCTAGTGTTTCATTTTTATTTTGGAGCTTGGAACACTATTCAGGATGGAGAGGATATCTGTTATCAATTGATTGGCCAGTGTTCTATGGAATGCATGTGCTATAAGTTGCTGATGGGTAAAAACAATGTCCTGTTGGACTGTATAGTTTGGAGATTAGAGCACTAACTTTGGTGTCAAACAGATGTCCTTTTCTCCCAATTTTTGCTATTTCTTGGGGCTTCCCAGGCGGCTCATTGGTTGAGAACCCGCCTGCCAATACAGGAGATGCAGGAGATGAGGGTTCAATCCCTGGGTCAGGAAGATCCCCTGGAGAAGGGAATGGTAACTTCTGGGAAATTCCATGGACAGAGGAGCCTGGTGGGCTACAGTTCATGGAGTTGCAAAGACTTGGACATGACTCAGCAACTGAGCGCACACACACACACATGTACTCTTAAACTCCTGAGCCTCAGTTTCTTTATAAGATAGGAATGAGTTTCTACCTCATACATTTAAGGACAAATTAAGGGAGATGAACACAAAGCTTTTAGCACAGTACTTGGTAAGTGGTAGGAGCCAAGTAAGCCTTTAATGTTGTTTTTCTTATTGTTGTTGTTCACTTCTAGGCCACATAACTATTTCAATAAATGTTGAATTAATATATTAGTTTTCAGTTACATTATGTGACATTTTTACCTTATCTGTAGTTTTCTATTTGCTTGAAATTTAAATGAAGTATATACATAGCATGAGTATGTTTGATAATATATCTTCTGGTAAATTTTTAATATTTACATGTGCTACATGGTTAGAAGAGAGATTGAAATGTTGTCTTTTTTAATTTTAGAGACATATTACTACATTCCTCCGTTAGTTGGTGTCGTTTTCTTGGCTCTAACTCCTATTTGGATTATAATAGCTGCCAAACATCCAGCCACAAGGACGGTTCTCCACTCAGGCTGGGAGCCTGTCATAACTGCTATGGTTATAAGTAGGTTAGTATTAAAGTGTGTGTGTTTGTGGGTTATTATATATGCATGTGTATGTATATATATTAAAACAAACCAATTGCCTATTTTTATTTCTCACCCCATCTGTCATTTTACGTAGCCAATTCTTTATTATCCCAGGTGATTGAGATAAAAGTGGCAAGGATTATTCAAATCAGTAGATGCATAGAACCTCATGTGCTACCAGTTTTGTACCTTTCCCCAACCAAATCGCAGATTGATGATTAAAATATAGTGCTGTTTTTGTCTTTGTATGAGTTTTAACCTGCCAAGGACATTGCTTATTTTGAACAGTAAGAGCAGGTAAATACCAGAAAACCTTAGAAATGTACATACTGTTGGATTACTCCACTTCTAGGACTCTGACAGGACTTAAAGATATACTTATAGATACATGCAAATGATTGAATTGTAAGAATACTCATCACAGTGGAATTTTTAATAACAAAAAGAGAAGAAGAATAATTGTGAATAATGATTTCACTGTTCTAATAAACTGAAACCTAAATATTTCACCAAAAATTGGAATGCTATCACCAGATTGGCAGGAGAGGGCAAGGAAGGGAATTATGAAGGGACTTCAATGGGGAGGGAAGAGAAAGACTAAATGCTCACCCTGCTGTTGGACGTCATTAGGTAAATGTCTGAAATTAAAAATCTAGGAATAGCAGTATAAACATACTGTTTAGAAATAGAGGAGTAAATGTCAAAAGAAACAGTTAAAGAAGTTAAAAGGAATTGCTAGTGGAGAGCAGGATGTGGGTTAGGGCTGGAGACTATTTTATATGCTTTGTGGTACTTTCACCTTTTAAATGATGCATATATATTTGTTTGATAAAAATACAATTTAATAAAAGTGAAGCACTTTTACAATTTGAGTTTTTATTTTTAAAAAATATACATGTTTAAAAATGTTTGGAAGTCTGTATATCAACATGGTAACAGTATAACTCTGAATGATGTAACTATGGTTGATTTTTATTTTCTTCTTTTTGTTTGTATTTTCTATCTTTTCTATGATAAGTTTTATTGCCTAGGTAATACAACTATTTAAAAATGTATTTTAGCACGTATTCCTGTTTTCTGCACCGCATTATCCATGTGTTTTGGTAGGGAGATTTATTCTTTGACACATAACTATTTTATTCTAGGAAATATGTGTTTTTTTAAAATTAGGGCTTAAAATAGTAAAATATTTCTAAGGATAACTATTTTTAGACTTTATAGTATACCTTTTTATGGGAACTCCTAGAAGAATAAGCATATTAAGCCTTTCACTTATTCAAGAATTAAAATGATAAAGATTTAATAATAAATTTAAAAAAATCATTTCCTAGTATTAACTATCTGGTAGTGGTAAGTACATTGGATCTGATACTTTGACCATCAACCCTATTCCGTGACAACATATCATTCATTTTTCTGTAATGTGGATTTAGACCACAGGATCCCATGAAATATTGGGACCGAAACTGTTTTATGTAATACTAGGTAGACCAACAGACTGAAGTTAACCACTTGATAATGGTCTTGGAAACAACAAAAAAATCTCCAAGCTCCATTGAGATATTGATAGTATGTGTCTTGCCACTATATAAAAAGAAAAAAGCATGTTACTTTTCTGGACCTCTGTTCACCAGGTCAGCTCCTCCTCTGGCTACAACTCATTATTTTAACTTAACAATGATAAGACACTGTCATGTACTATATCTAATGTGAACAGAATAAAAGTCATCCCTTAGTGGCTTGCTTACTTCAAATGTAAAAAAATACTCTTTAAAATTTTTTCAAATTATAAAGATAATAAAATGCACATGACTTTAAAAAAACAAATAAGCAAAGAAGGATATAAAGTAACCGTGAGTCTCCTGTCAGTCTCAGCCCTAGGGATAGATATTGTTAGTAATTTCTTATATGTCCTTCCAGACATTTTATTTTATTTGCCTTTTTTATTCTTTTTTTTACCCATTTATTTTTATTAGTTGGAGGCTAATTACTTTACAGTATTGTAGTGGTTTTTGCCATACATTGGCATGAATCAGCCATGGATTTACATGTGTTCCCCTTCTCGATCCCCTCCCCCCTTCCAGACATTTTAGTGCACTGAAAGTATATGTTTTTTTCCTTTTTACAAATAGCATATGTAAGTATATAGACCAGAAGGAGAGCCCTGAAATGTGGGGCTACAGTTTATGCCATGTTTTATTATCAACATTTTACTTTTGACATTTTTACTGTTAATAACTTTTCTTTTTATTCAGTTTTTAAAATAGCTAAATGTTTATTTTTAAAACTAGGAGTGTTTATATATAAAAAACAATTTCAAATTAGTCCATTTCCTTTCCTCTTCCCTAAATTACATGATTTTATATCTTTCAGCATTGGGGGCCTTATTCTGGACACAACTGTATCTGATCCAAACTTGGTTGGGATTGTTGTTTACACACCAGTTATTAATGGTAAGAATCACTGTTTCATAATGATGTGGTATCTCTCTGTATTCTTAGGTATGAACCAGAATCTTTGAATTCAGAGGTCTCTCTTCCATTTTATTTCTATCCACTTAGTAAATAAATAAATGTTCTATCCATTTTATTTTCAGTACCAGGTTGTTGCTTGTGGTAGAAATTACATTCCATGTTTTTAGTATACAGAACATATTTTTGAAAAAAACTCTCACTTAATCTTATCTCTAGATATTAATTTAAGAGTCAGACATACTTAATTTTTAAAGTTAGTGTGGCAGAATGAAAAAAGAAAGTGTTAGTCACTCAGTTGCGTTTTACTTTTTGTGACCCCATGGACTGTAGCTTCTGTCTATGGAATTCTCTAGCCAAGAATACTGGAGCCGGTAGCCATTCCCTTCTCCAGGGGATCTCCCAACCCAGGGATTGAACCTGGGTCTCCTGCACTGCAGGCAGATTCTTTACCAGCTGAGCCACATAGGATATTTCGATAGTCTATTATTATTTACTTTGGGCTTATCTTATATGCTATGTTACATTGTTTTGTTGCTGCCCTCATCAATTTTTGTGGCTAAATTAGATTTAACTAGGTTTAAGCATTGCTAAAGTCAATTCAGCCCATTAAAATCTATCATTCCCCTGCTGATCCTTTTCAGATCTGCCTTATGTTTCTTCTTATCTATAAAATGGGAATTATAGTAGTTAAATTCACAGGGATTTTTATATGAATTCCATTTTTAAAAGATAATTTAAATCCAGTCCCACTGGCTTTAGGGCTGGCTGTCATTAAACTGGATTTCATGATTTACCTGGAAAATCCCATGGACGGAGGAGCCTGGTAGTCTGTGGTCCATGGGGTCACTAAGAGTCGGACACAACTGAGCGACTTCACTTTCTCTTTTCACTTGCAGACATTGGAGAAGGAAATGGCAACCCACTCCGATGTTCTTGCCTGGAGAATCCCGGGGACAGGGGAGCCTGGTGGGCTGCCGTGTATGGGGTTGCACAGAGTCTGACACGACTGAAGCGACTTAGCAGCAGCAGCAGCATGATAACCTAAGCCAATATAATTTAAAATAATTCTGCCTGGAGGAAACTATAGCAGAGGATATACACATTTAATATAAATCACTTTTTATATATTTATGAATAAGAAAATATGTTCTACAGAGGCAAATTCTCTAAAATCTAATTTCATATCTAAAATTTTTTTTAATTATTTATTTTGCTGCATCCAGTCTTACTTGTGGCACATGAGATCTCCATTGCCACACGCCAGTTCTCTAGTTGTGGTGTGTGGGTTCTTAGTTGCTCTGAGTCGTGTGGAATCTTAGTTCCCCAACCAGGGATGGAACTCATGTCTTCTGAATTGCAAGATGGATTCCTAACTGCTCAATCACCAGAGAAGTCCCCATATCTAAAATTTTTACTTAACATTTTAATTTTGCAGTAAATGAATAAATTTACCCTAGAGATGCCCCTCCCAGTTTTCCTGATAACACCATTCTCCCTGCCTGTAAAATCACAGAACCATTTGATTCTACCTGGCTCTTCATCCTCTTTGAATAGATAATGACCAAACTATATATATATATAAAATGACCAAACTATATATAATGTGTCTATTTGCACACTAACATAATTTATCTGTTCATTTATTTATATAACAAGTGTGTCTTACCACTATAGTCCACTAATAGCTCAGTCCAGCCATCAGTCAAGTAATAAAGTAGCCTTCTTGACTCACTCCCTATTCAATACAAATTGAATGTCGCTAGAAGACTCGTCTACCTTAAGCATTGCTTTTATTACATTAGTTTTAAGATAATGGGATTTAACAGTGATTTTCTCCTGCCTGTCCAATCAAATTAGAATTTTTCTCCCTAGCTATCAAGGCTCTCCCTATATGCATACAACTATATCCTTCATCATGATTTGATTCTTGTATTGTGGCCATACAGAGATGTAATTTTCACTGCCTGGAATAGCTACTACTTTCTTTCCCCCTGTTCACATGCTCTTCAATGACTATTATTTGATGAGTTTACTAGCATAAATATTATCCAACAATGACTGTTGACTGTGTTGCCCAGCTAGAACCATGTTGCCCAGCATTTCAATGAGAAATTTAACTTAAATTACAACCCCTTTAGTAGTAAGGTTTTCGTTTCTCTGTGATTTCACCTTCCATAAGAAACAGTTTGCTGAAGTGCTATCTTTGGAAGTCTGTGTATAGTTTGGCATGGTGGTACACCATATTTTTTAATCTCAGTAAGCAAGCCTCTTAGTTGGGTATCACCATAAACTCTTTCTAGTGTTAAATGCCATTCATTAAAAACACTGATAGAGAAGAGTCATTCTACGTTCCTCAGAAAAAGTGGGACTTCTGAGAATTGAATTTCATTTTAAATGTGCTAAGGCATGTACTATTTAAAAGATCCCTGTTTTGTCATAGTCTTTATCATATCATCATCATCATCGTTTTCTATTTAGTAAGTACCTACTATGTGGCAGGTGACTCTATGCATACTATTTAATCCTCAAATAAAGATAAGTACTCATATCTAGGGCATCTTTTAAAATTTATTAACATCTCTTAGAACCAGTCACGTTTTCTAAAATATATTTCCTGTAACAATAGTTCTCGATATGTTAATAAGTATAATTTGAAAAGTGAGTTCTGTGGTCAGCGAAGTTCGGGAAACATTAGGTTAAAAAGATTTCTCTTCCACAGAATTTTGTAAAGCTTTTTCCATGCTAATATATGATGTAAACCTCCCCTTGTGGTACTTCTGTTGGCTAGGAGTTAGAATTTCTGAATCTAACCTTCCTTCTAACCTTCTTTCCAGACCATACTTTGAGAACTACTAATCTAGGGCTTATTATATCTTTATCATAGTCTCTTTCAAACAGCAATATACCACTTTACATAAAGGATAAGAGCCTTATCTCTTATCCTTTATGTATAAGAACCTTATGTCTTGTCCTTTTGCAATTTCACTCTTGTGAGTTCTTTTTCTCATACATTTTACTTTGTTATAAACCCTGTAACATTTTGCTTCACACAGTTATTTTTTTAAAAGATTAAAACTGAGGGGTTGGTATCTTTTTATATTTTCCTATATATTTAACATTTTCAGCACTCTTCTTTGCTTTCTGTAGATTCAGATTTCCATCTAGCTTTGTTTTCCACCTGTCAGAAGTTCCTGTAATGTTTGTTGTCGGGCAGCTGTGCAGAGAAGACAGAGGCTTTAGGCCGGTACCCCCCAGCTTCCTTCTCCTTCCTCTTCCTTTGCCCCTCTTCTGACCTATAAGAGTGTCTACTCTTAACCTCTGCTCTTAACCTTTTCTACTTGTATCCCAGAAGAAGAGTCAACTCTTTTATCCAAGACTGGCCGATTTACCTTTACTAATTCACAATTCCATTATACCCCCACTGGTGATTTTTTTAGTGTTTAATAACTATCTTGTACACCTGTGGCTCATTCATGTCAATGTATGGCAAAAACCACCACAATATTGAATAGTAATTAGCCTCCAATTATAATAAATAAATTAGTTAAAATTGTATTTTAAAATATGAAATAGCTATCCAACAAATTAGATCAGTGTCTGCTATGTACAGCTAGCAGTAAAACAAATTCCCTCTGTTATCATGATGCCTGTAGTTTGATTGAGATAGTGGCTATTTATGTTACAGAACGTAAAGAGCAGAAAATTAGTAACTGTTCTAAGCTCTTGGTACCTTATCTGTTGGATGTTACATGACAGGAGAACAACATATATGAAGTGTAATGCTATGACTGCCATGAAAACCGTTTACCTGAGTTAAAATGAACTGTTTTACTTAGGGCTTTTACAATAGAGTAACTAAAAGACTTCCATTTAATATTAATTTTTGAATTAAAAAATGTGCAATTAAAAAACACTTTATTGAAAAATCTATCTCAGTCTTTATTGATCTGCAGTACTTCTTTTGTATATGACAGATTTCATGTGCATGGATGTGTGTTGGGGGGGTGAATATGTGTGGTTATCAGTTTAAAGAAGTCCCCCTCAATTCCTGGTTTGCTAAGCGTTTTTAATAATAAATAATAAAATGCTGAATTTTATCAACTTTTCTGTTTATTCATGTAATATAATCATATTTTCCCTTCATTTATTTGTTAATGTGCTATATGTATTATTTTCAATTATTAAGTCAGTCTTACATTCCTAAAATAAATCTGACTTTTTGGTGATGTATTTTACACATTTAACATTTTGCTGGATTTGGTTTGCCAGCAGATTGATATCTTTTGCATTTATTTTGATTCACAAGACTGGCTGATAATTTTCTTTTTTCGTATTGTCATTGTTGGATTTTGAACTCAGAGTAACGCTGGTCTCATTTTGTGTGTTTTTTAAAAGCTTTTTTGGAGCATAGCTGATTTGCAGTGTTGTGTTAGTTTCTGGGGTACAGCAGAGTGACTCAGTTATACACACATAGACCCACTCTTTTTTTGTTTTTGTTTTTAAGATTCTAGAGTCTTTTCCCAAATAGGCCATTACAGAGCACTGAGCAGCATTCCCTGTGTACACAGCAGTTTCTTATCAGTTATTTTATAGAGTTGTACTCTTCTTTTCTAATATAAGACTTAACGCTGTGAATTTCTAAGTACCACTCTATGTACCTCCCACAAATCTCAATATGTTGTGTTTTCATTTTCTTTAAATCCAGAATATTTTAAAATTCCCTCTGTGATTTTTTTTTTCTTTGATTTGTGGGTTATTTGGAAGTGTATTGTTTACTTTCCAGCATTTGGGGGAATTCTCAGATATCCATCTTTTCCATTGTGGCCAGAAAACATACTTTGTATGTTGCAGTTATTTCAAATTTATTGAAACTTGTTTTATGGCTCACAGTGTGGTCCATCTGTGTGAATGTTCCCATGTGCATACTTGTAAAAATTATGTATTCTGCTGTTGTTGGGTGGTGTGTCCTATAAATGTCCTTTAGATCAAGTTGATTGATAATATTGTTAAAAAAACTTCTACATAGTTTTGATTTTTTATCAGTGTGGTCTATCAGTTGATGAGAAAAGAGTGGTAAAGTCTCCAAGTATAAACACAAACTTGCTCATGTCATCATCTCTATGAGAGAGGGATTGTTTTCTCTGTTTTACAGGAAGGCAACTGAGGCATGGAGAAGCTAAGTAGCTTGGAGGTGGGAGAGGGTGGTTGACTGGGCACTTTACTATTGGAAGATTGGGGTGGGGTTGGTTGGCCATGTCATAGGGAGCCCTCCAAGTCTGAACATCGAACCTCCACTCTGGGAGGTTAGAATCCTGCCCACCCCTTGGAGCAAAATGAAGGTCTGAAGGAATCCCACTGTTAATTATGCAGACTTCCAGTTCATCCTTATTTTCCATCAGTACCGCCTAGTGTCTGGTATCCTTGAGGCCCGAGTCTCTCTTGTTCAGTATCTACAGAAAGCATTCCTTTATTCTCCCACTTGAGCAGAACAGTTGAAAGAATGATGAGAGATTGCAGACATTTGCTTACTCCATTCATCCACAGACTTTTATTTTTTATAGTGAAAACTTTTTATATTTAGAATCAGCCAGCTGGGCTCAGTTTAGATGATCCCACTTTTGTTGTTATTGTTGTTCAGTTGCTCAGTCATGTCCAACTCTCTGCGACCCCATGGACTACAGCCTTCCAGGTTCCCCTGTCCATGGGGATTCAGGCAAGAATATTGGGGTGGGTTGCCATTTCCTTCTCCAGGGGATCTTCCCAACCCAGGTCCCGCACATCACAGGCGGATTCTTTACCATCTGAGCCATCAGGGAAGCCCTCATATGAGAGAGGGAGTCAGAAATGGATGCAGTTTGTTTCTCCTTTTGAAAAACTTATTTATTGATGTATTTAATTTTTGGCTGTGCTGGGTGTTTACTGCTAGGTGCAGGCTTTCTCTAGTTGTGGCGAGCGGCAGCCGCTCTCTAATTGCAGCGTGCAGGCCTCCAGTTGTAGCGGCGTCTCTTGTAGAGCTTGAGGGCTCAGTAGCTGAGGCTCACAGGCTTTAGTTGCTCTGTGGCATGGAGGGTCTTCTCAGTCCAGGAACGGAACCTGTGCTGCCTGTGTTGGCAGGCAGATTCGTAGCCACTGGGCCACCAGGGAAGTCCTGGATGTGACTCCTTGCTGTGTGCCACCAAGGTTGGCTCTCTCAAGTGTTCTTGTCCTGCCTGCGTCTATCTCACAAGCACTCGTGGGGATGCTTGCAGAAATAGTTGACAGCGGGTGTAGACTCCCCTTGTGTCCAGGGTTCACAGGTATTCTTGATGATTGTTTTAGCTCATGCTCAGCATTCAGCAATTTGAAATTTTCAGTTGTTTTCTTCCTACTTGTTTTTATGGCTACTATCTCTTTCTCTCATAATCTGTCAAAGTAGGAAGAGTTTGGGTGTCCTAATTCACCCTGGGGGTACTTACCACCCTTTGGAATTCATTTTGCTTCTTTGCATTAACTCCTCTTCCTCAGAGTACATAAGAGGATAATCTAGGTTAAAAGATCACTTTCTTGAGTATTTTTTTCTGTGTCTTATACCATTTTCTTCAGTAATCTGAGAAGACATGTATCAAACCTTATCTATTTGAATACATTTATTAAGATGATAAATGTGAAACATATTGTTACCTAGTTTTACATCTTGATTGCGATAGTAATTTTTAAAAATTACTTACTCTGCTTTCAGACCAAACAGTGAGTTAGATTTGAAAAAACAATGAATGAGTCTTTCATAGCAGGAATTTTATGCCTTTGAAATATCTACATCAACATCAAATAAATCAACATTTCAGAAGAACTCTTTGTTCTGTTTTATTAGCCCAGGGGGTGATGTAGAGACATAAATTCAGTTGAATCTGTGCACATTATTGACAATACGAAGCTAACTATTTGTTTTTTCTTCTATTTCAGGTATTGGTGGTAATTTGGTGGCCATTCAGGCCAGTAGGATTTCTACCTACCTTCATTTACACAGCATTCCAGGAGAATTGCCTGATGAACCCAAAGGTTGTTACTACCCTTTTAGAACTTTTTTTGGTCCAGGTAGGTGCTCATGGAGTTTTGCATATTTTATTCCTGGAACTCTTCCTCTCTCTGAGTACAGGCATGCAACATTTGCTGAATACATATTTTGTTTATGAATGTTGCCCAATTTTCTGTTTCTGAGAGCCAAATGGATTTTAAATAGAGTAGATTTTGTTCACTGAATCTCAGTGAAAAGCAACAACAAAAGACTGTGGATCAATTCTGCAATTGTTAAAGAATTTTGTAGTTTTTCTTTTTTATCTTTCTCTTTGATCCCTTGTTTATAAGTTAGGAAAGAAGAACCTTGTGCATATAAGAAAACATTGTTCGGTGATTTAGGGAAACATACTCTTTCATGGGCTTCCCTAGTGGCTCAGGTGGTAAAGAATCCGCCTGCAATGCAGGAGACCTGGGTTCGATCCCTGGGTTGGGAAGATCCCCTGGAGGACATGGCAACCACTCCAGTACTGTTGCCTGGACAATCCCCATGGACAGAGATGCATAGCGGGCTACAGTCCTTGGGGTTGCAGAAAGTTGGACACAGCTGAGCAGCTAACCACATAGCATACACTCTTTTATACATTAATCTTTTTGATCTTTCTAAATGTAGGCATTGGTCCCCAACAAGCAGAATGAGAGGGGATAACCTCAGTTACAAGGACATTGTTATGTCCCAGGCATATGCTATCCAAAAAACTAAACCACAATTTTATTTTGTTCATTTTTGGCTGCACTATGTGACAGGCATGCAGAATTTATGCAACCTGGGATCAAACCTATGCTCCCTGCCGTGGAAGCTCAGAGTCTTAACCACTGGACCACCAGAGAAGCCTCTAAACCACAATTTTAAACCTCACAATTCTTGACAACATTTTTTTTCTGATGAAAATAAATGTATTGTAGTAAGTGTAACTTTTGAATGAGGTTCAGAAATACCCAGTCTTTTAATAGCAATGAAAGACTTCTAAAGGAAAAATAAAATTAAAATATTTAATGACCAAAAAACCTCTATTAGAAGATGATTAGGTATCATTTAGTTATTAAAATGAACAATAATAAGGAATTAAATGATGTAGAAAAAAATACGTTCCAGTACTTTAAGAACTTCATATTTTTTCTTTTGTCTTCCCTCCGTTTTTATAATGTTATAGTTTGATCAGTGTTCTTAACAGCAAGCTTTCATCAACCACCTTTCATTTAATTAATATATAACATATAGGGAAAATTTCTAAAAATTAAGTATATTATAAATAGTTAAAATTTATTTTTAGCAATTGAATTTTATGTGATTCTGTGTGCTATAGTAGTAATAACTTGAAGTAATCCTCAAATTTTAATAACTATGATATATTATTCACCAATACATGATTTTGTTTTAACAACCTTTATATTTTATATTACAGGAGTAAATAATAAGTCTGCTCAAGTTCTACTGCTTTTAGTGATACCTGGGCATTTAATTTTCCTCTACACTATTCATTTGATGAAAAGTGGTCACACTTCTTTAACTGTGATCTTTGTAGTAGTATACTTATTTGCTGCTGTATTACAGGTAAGAGACAAAACTTCTTGTAATTTCTTTTATGTTCAGATTAATGTTAAAGTATAACTAAGGCTAAAAGCACAAGAAATTTTTTAACATTTCAAAAATCAGCTGAATGCCTTCTTATTGATCTTCTTAAAACCGATAACATTTAATGCGATTTGATCAATAGACCTATTAGATTTCCTATTTTCTGGATTCTGTGTTCCCTCTCTCTCTCTCTTTTTCTAATTCTCTTCTTTAGTATAATGTGTCTTGGCAGATAAATTCCTGAGGAAGAGTGCTGCACAGGAGAAAAATTTTTGAATCTTTGCATGTTGTAAAATGCTTTGAATAGGTTGACTGGATATAAAATTCTGTTTCTTTTAAATTTTCTTTTAAAATTTTGAAAGCAAGGAGAAAACTTCCTTGCTTTTTAACTTCTGTTACTGTTGAAAAGAAGAGCAGATGCCATTCTCACTGCTGATCTCATGATACAAAACTACTTTTATCTTTCTAGAAATTTCTAGAAAGAAAATCTTTTCTTTTTCCCTATTGTTTTTAAATTTCTTCTGGTACTTATCTATGCGTTTTAAAGTAATATACCTAAGTTTCTAGTTCATTTTTAATTCCCTTTAGACTTTTCCTAACAAAAGTTGAGGATTTGGGGGCTGGTACAATGCTGTATCTTTCCCATATGGTTATGTCACAGTTTTGGGTTAAATTGGTAGTCCGTGTTTCTGTCATTGGGTCTATCTAAACATTGTTTGGGCTTCCTTGGTGGCTCAGATGGTAAAGAATCTGCCTGCAGTGCAGAAGACCTGGGAGATTCCTGAGTTGGGAAGATCCCCTGGAGAAAGGCATGGCAACCCTATAGTTTTCTCCTGTGTTCTTGCCTGGAGAATCCTGATGGATAGAGGAGCCTGATGAGTTACAGTCCATGGGGTTGCAAAGAGTCAGACACGACCAAGCGACTAACACACACAAGCGTTGTTCACAACAGAGCCAGATAATGTATTATATTTCCTTTTTGTGTATTTTATTTTTCCTAGGGTTAATAATCACTTCTTTTTTCATTTGCCTCATTTTCCAGAAACCCATCCTTAATTTTTTCCAACTGTTCCGTCTTTATTTTAGCTTTTTAGCCATGGCTTCTTGCTAAGCTCTGTAGGATTTAGTACCTCCTACTTTGAGAAATCCTAACTTAAGAGGTGCATTCAAAGAATTCTTTGAAAAGGTATCATATGAACTTGGCCTTCAGGGGGTTTGTAGGAGTGGGACTGGAGGATAAGTATGTGGAATTATTAATATTCCAGTCAAAACAAAACTGCATTGACAGTAATAATGTTAACCAAATTAACTGACATCTACTATGTTACCTTTATGACCAGTGCTGTTCTAAGTGCTTTATGTAGAGATTTATTTTATTCTCACAAGTACTCTATGAGATTTGTTCTTCTAATATAAATCAGTGATTTTAAAAGTGAAGTACATGCAAAACAATGCATTGTGTACATAAAGGAAAGATTAAAACTTCTTATGTATGTCTACCTCATTTGTTTAAAGTATTTCTTCTGTTTTTATGATTGCTTTACAATAAGCATATTATCACAGTGTTAAGTAAAGTATACTTATTTATACTGAAGGACTGCATAAGCTAAAACTTTTGGAGATTACTGAGTAAAAGCATAGAGATGATAGAGCACAGAACTTAAGCCAGAAAATGAAAGTAATTCACACAGCGGATCTAACTAAAAGAAAAGATGAGAAAAGGTTAAGAGGGTAGATTAGGACCAATGTAAAAAGGTCTTAAATGCTCAACAAGGGAAACAAGAATCTATTCATAAAGTAACAAAGCCCTTGTGACTTTATTGATGTTTTAACTTTTCTATAATGACTTATAGTGCTCGAGATTTTATTAGATATCCCCTGTCAAATCATTCACTCATTTATTCCTTCAGTAAGCCTTAATTCTATTCATGATACTAGATGCAGGTATGGACTTTAAATCCCAGGATGTATAAATTCAGGCCCTATACTCAAAGACTCACAACCTGAAGAGAAGACTACTGAACAAATAACTGTATTATAATGTCATGTAATATAAATAAATGCTGGAACTAGCTATGCATAATTTGCTGTCAGAGGTTGGAAAAAAAAGCAACTAATCCTATCTGGGGAGTAATATTTTTCTACTGTTCAGTAGGAACAGAAGTTATTTCAAATGTGTTTTTACTGCTGGCTATCTTTATTGCTGTATATGCTACGGTCATTTATTATAATTTATTTTCTCCATGTATGTTAGTATTATGAAAAAGATGCTTTCCTCAATCTGATGGGAAATATTTAAGAGACCATTCTTTGGTCTATTAAACACACCATTTTTAGAGTAAGCTCCTATTTGTAACTTTACCTCTTTACCTCATGGATGGATTTGACGTTTATCTTTATGGTTCTTTGCCAAGATAGTGTCATGCACCATTTCACTTAAGTTAATGAAGGATATAAGACATTTATCTGAACTTACACAAATGTTAGATTTCAACCTTATACTCACAGTATACCTATATGTCTTTTGTTAGCCTCTGATGTAAATTCTGATTGTGGCTACATGCTCAGTCGTGTCCAACTCTGTGACCCCAGGGACTGGGGCCCTCCAGGCTCCTCTGTCCGTGGAATTCTCCAGGCTTGAATACTGGAGTGGGTTGCCATTTCCTTCTCCTGGGGATTTTCCTGACCCAGGGGTTGAACCCCTATCTCCGGCATTGGCAGATGGGTTTTTTACCACTGAGCTACCTGGGAAGCCCAAATTCTGATTAATCAAGTTTGGAAAACTAGAGTTAAGGAAACAGTAATTACTAATCTGTCTCCAAACCTCCTCTGTAAAGTGGGAGGGATATAGACAGTCCAACTTAAATGATTTTCCAACTTTATGATGTGCAAAAGCAATAATGCATTCCGTGGAAACCATACTTCAGTTGTTGAATTTTGATCATTTCCCAGGCTAGTGATACTTGGTATAATCCTGTCTTAAGATGCGGGCAGTGACAGTGAGCCACAGTTCCCAGTCGGCTGTATGATCATGAGGGCAACCAACCAATAAACTGATCCACTTAAGACCATTCTGTACCCAGACAACCATTCTGTTTTTCACTTTCAGTACAGTAGTCAATTAATTATATCAGCTATTCAGTACTTTATTGTAAAACAGGCTTTTGTGTTAGATGATTTTGCCCAGCTGTAGAATAATGTTAGTGTTCTGAGCATATTTAAGGCAGGCTAGGCTAAGCTATGATGTTCAGTAGGGTAGCTGTATTAAATGCACTTACAGTGTTTTCAACTTACCATGGTTTTTTTTGGATGTAACCGCATCATAAGTTAAGGAAGGTCTGTAGTAGTACCTGTATCATAGGCCCCTTAGAGGATTAAATGATTTAATTACTTGGCTTCATAGTGCATGCTATATGAGTGTTGGCTGATACTGTTGTTATTGTTACTGTTATTTAACATAGAATTATAAATGGTGAGTCATTAATCTCTGAGTGACAATTGAAATTTTTTTAATCTTGTAGTATTGATTGAATTTTCTTATGTGTCTTTTACAAGTTTTATTTTTATGAGTTTGTATTTTTATTTCTCCCCAAGAATTAGATACCTGCCAAAGAAGATCTTTGTTTTTGTACCTGACATTGTATTAGTCCAATGGAATAGTTTAGAATCTGCTTGTAAATTCTCAATGCAAATCTTCATGCTCTAGCACTGACATATCTAACACATACATGAGCACACACATTCACGTATCTCTGTGAGGCTTGAGGTTTAGATTAAAAATCTTGACCTTTCCCTGCCTCCTTCAACAGTACAAATATGGAAGAATAAATAAAAACTTTTTAAAGATGAAGAAGTCTTCACCACTTAAGACATGCATTTTAATACTCTTTACTCAGCTGGCTTCCTTTTATGATCTAGGTTTAAACTTATATTCAAAATCTTGGTTGAAGTCCCAGCTCTTACTTAAATATTTCAGTCCACACCTGTCTTCCCATCACTAAAATCTGTATTTTGATTAGCTATTCCATAGTAAAATTTTCTAATGCATGTTTAATTTTTCTCCATCTAGATTCCTACCTCCTTGAGGGTGGAGACCAAGCCTTTTGGTATTCTCCGCAGGGCATGATAGAATGGTTTGGTTTTGGTTTTTGATTGGGGTATGATTGCTCTGCAGTGCTGTGTTAGTGTCTGCCCTACAGCGAAGTGAATGAGCTGTGGCATATATCTTCCCCTTTCGGGGCGCCACCCCCCCGCCCAGCACCATCCCAGGTCATCACATAGCACCGCAGGTCATCACAGAGCCTGCAGGTCGTCACAGAGCCCCGGGCTGAGCGCCCTGCGCTGGATCAGGTTCCCACTCGCTGTTTGTTTCACGCGTGGTCGTGTAGATATGTCGCTGTTACTCTCTCAATGCAATTCTTGACACTTCACTCTCTTCTCAGAATAGTATTCTTTAAGGAAACTTCCCCCCACCACCTAATTCCTCACCCAACAAAATGAAGTAAATCCACTTGAAAGAAACTTGATATCGAACTTATTACAATGACATAGTGACAATTCTTTGCAATATTTCTGCACTTACTCAGGTGTCATCTTCCTGGAAGTCTTTCTTGCATACCTAATTTGGTCTAAGTGCCTTTATTCTCTGTTCCCATGGTAGCCTGTGAACACCATTACCCTAGCTTTTCCACGTTATATTGACATTATCTATTCATGTGTCTGTCTCACCCATGCTACAGAAGGGGTCTTTGTTTTACTCTTCTTTTTTTTTTCTTTTTTTTGTCTGTGGCACCTTGCCCCATCTCTAGTGCTCAACTAGTGTTTGTTAAACTAAATGACTATATCTTGCTAGCTCTGTTTCCCTCTTCAGGAAGAGAAAAGTTTACAAGTGTATTTAGGTACCAGAAATTCCAGAAAAACTGAGAAATCTAAATTTTCTCCTTGCTCCAAATTACGTCTTTCGCTGACCTAGGTATTTA